GTATAACTTGAATTATACACCAACAACATTGGGAGTGCAAAGTTGAAGAGAAATTATATCTGGGGAGTACGCGAACAAAAAAGGTTGAATAACACTGTTCTAGGTTGTAGTTCTAAGTAGTGTGCTGGGAATTGATCGAAGTTTAATAGATGCTTCCTGCCTGCGATGGCTTCTATGGAGGCATAAAACATCTCTGAAACGTCGGTAACGTCTATCATACTACACGTCACAACAACCCAGAAGACAGTCACCTTCGGACTCAACGCCGTGAAACATCAGATTAAATTATATTTTAATATTTCGCTTTGGCCATAGAAGTATTCGGAACTGAACAATAACATGGACTTCGTGTGAAAACAGAACGAAGAATAATTTTGATCGAAGGAAATACGACATTTCTGTTTCGTGTAGCGGCGATAACATTTTGTGAAATTAGATTTCCGGCAGAAATGCAATGCGAGGAGCATTCTCCCACAGCACACACACTGGAAGATCATGTCGTGGTCAGGCCATTACATCGTAAGTGGACGCTGTTCGCATTTTTTACAGCAATCATCACAAGTTTCTTGTCTATTTATCCATCCGCCTGGCTGGTTGCTGGTTGATTGTGTTGTTGGTCTAGGCGAGACGACGTGCCCTCGCTATATTAATATTTGGTGCAACCGCGCGCGTGTCTCCCACCCCGTGAACAACAACCCTCTCATTTGACTGCAGAGTATTAAAACATTCCAGACACCAGCGCTCAGTATCGAGGGGTGTGAAACGAGGTGATAAAACGTACAGTTAAGCAAACGAGAAACCAAACGCCTTCAAGTTTTTCTTGAAACACTTCAAAGCATCTCAAATTCCACGTGGTTGCAGTTGGGACTATAATTTTAGCACATGAAAATGAAAAATCATAAAGGAATAGAAATTATATTAACCCGTCGGAGCCAAGTCTCGTCTAAATAACATTTAAGAATTCAGTCCGTACCGCGAAGAAAACACCACACTTCACCATTACAAAGATCAACTGGTTCACCCTTTAAACCCGCAGCTCGTATAAATAATATTTAAATATTCAGTCCGTACCGCGAAGAAAACACCACACTTCACCATTACAAAGATCAACTGGTTCACCCTTTAAACCCGCAGCTCGTATAAATAATATTTAAATATTCAGTCCGTACCGCGAAGAAAACACAACGCCTCACCATTACGAAGATCAACTGGTTAACGCTGTTTAAGGAATTAATCGAAAATTTACTTCTAAAGTTAACACGAAATCGGTAAATACGCTTGAATGACAAAATGAGGAATTACTGTCTGTTAAAGCAGGTGGTACACATAGTTACCACCAGGGTTTAAAGGGTTAATCATGAGATAAAGTTGTCTCTGTGCTCAAGCAACAGTACGGAGTTAGAGATCCATGAATCCTTAATCTCAGCACCAGATGGAGTTGAGAGGTAAGATTCATTACCGGCAGGGACAGAACCCCGGAACCAATTTGACGAAGGGCTCGGTGGGCCCCAAAGACGGTCTATGAGCAGTGCAGAACCCCGGCGCGGATTCGTAAGTCTCCCCCCCCCAAAAAAAAATTCTTGTAATTTGAGGGCCACTGTCATAAAACTTCATACACCGATGTCTTTGTCTGCACAGATCACAGGGACTCCCCCCCACCCCCCAAACACAATATTGATGTGAGGCTGCATGTATTCCTTCCTTTTATTTTAGAGCCACAGCACGAGGGCAGAGACAGAACGTCAACTGTGAACGAAGTCGCAGAGACAGAGGTGGCGGAGTCATACTCAACTGCCTAATCACACGTTCTAAGCCTGGAAAATCTCAGGGGAAAGAATTCAAATATTCTCTACTGTATTTTCAAAAACACTAACCTGAAACCTAACTTCATGAGACGCAGACAGTTGCTAACCTCGTGAAATCTGCGTGTTTTTTATGGAATCTGAAATTTCATGACATTATTCACAACAGCCCGAACAAATACAGTAATTCTGGGTTGACACTTGAGATGCATTCTTCACAACAGCCCGAACAAATGCAGTAATTCTGGGTTGACACTTGAGATGAGATAATAATTTTCAACTAACTCCACGGAAAAGAGTCATTGAGAAGTTATCAACATCCTCAGTTTTACAAGAAATTATTCGGCCTTTATGGAACCCGAAGGTTCATAACAGTGTTCACAAGAGCCCGACATGAGTCCCAATCCTAAGCCAGATGAATCCAAACCACACACTTCAACCCTGTTTCCTTGCGATCCATTTTAATATCCACCAATCTACACATTGGTCTTCCGAGTGGCTTCTCCCCTTTAAGGTTTTCCAACCGAAATTTTGTAGTGACCTTTCAACTTCTTCACGAGAATTAACTAGACGCATCTGTAATTTCCAATATATATCGCGCATCGTGTAACACTGGCTGTGATTAGGCAGTGTGTGTGTGGGTTACAGGACTTGCTGGCAAAATTTATTAAAGCAAGCTGCACACTGATGGGATGCACAGTCAGGAAGCATTCCAGCCCCTGTCTATTTTCACGCGGAGAGATCTCTCCCGTTGTTTGATGAAAATTGTACACATTCACATCATTCCTTGCCGGATCATGCCGCGAATGTTAAGACCTCTTAGAGACAGATGACGGTCGCCGCATTATTATACCAGTCCGGTGGGTGGCGTGGGTTAAAGATCATGATTTCCTCTTACCCCTATTTCAAAAGTACAGGCTGACTTTGAAAGCTTGCATACAGCCTTCAAAAGGAAATATTCCCCGCAGAAAATTTACGCAGGATCTCCCGATTAAACTTTTCGAAGCACGCTGCTCATTTAAGTAATATTTAAATATTTAGTTCGTACCTCAAAGAAAACACAAAACGTATCCATCACAGACATCAAATAATTAGCACATTTCTGGGAAATAACCAATTCTTATTCTGAGAATAATACAACCAAAAACACCCTTTAGGCAAAATAGACAGTTATTGATGTCAAAGCAGGTGGTACATATAGTTACCAATAAATAGATTCGAAACATGTTGCCACTAAAATAAAATTATTTCAAGACTTTAATCATGTGAGTTTGAAGATGATAATAATAATAACAAGGCTATGGTAGGTCAGTAATGAGCATATGTTCATGAGTCATCATCATTCAACATCACGATTTGAAGCAAGTTACAAAGTATTCATTTTGAGCCATCAACCTATGGTATAAAATCCATACCAAATTTAATTAAAATCCTTCTATAAATTATCTAGATATTAATTTCGCAGAGGATCATGGGTAATGGAGTCGTCTTTGTATCTCAAGATACGTTCTTCGCTTACCTTAACCGTAAAGAACAACGCAAGACAATTGAAAGTTGTACGTAAAATTATAGGATTGTTTGTATTCCTAATTTTCATTAATAACATCGCATCGAAATATTATCTGTTTCGGTACCCGTCTCCCGTGTTTATTACTTTTAAAACCAACTTTCTTATCAAAATCTATGAAAATATTTAAGAAATAATCAGCACTCAATACGTAATTAAATTTCCAAATGTCAATATTCTTTAAGCCATATACTATTCTGATCACGAATCCTGAGAGACAATGTAAATTTATAAAACTGACCCAGAACCAGACGAGAGTTAGGCAGACCTGACACACACAGAACACAGAAACGTTAGAAAAGTTTTGGCGTCATACGACATGGCCACCTCACAGCAAAACTGAACTCTTCACCACATATTTCGTTGTACATTATATCAGTATTCCGTCCTGGGCTCTAATCATGTGACCTACAGTTCCACACATGTCGGCACATTAATAAATCATCCCTTCCTTAAAACAATCATCCGCCATCTAACATTCGTTTGAAAACAAAATTACTCCTCAGTTTCGTAGTCAAATATTTTCAATTTGGCAAAACATTAATGTACACGCCTCAAAATAAATATCATTTTCTGCAACCATTATCCAACAAACACTTTACTGACCTCTCTTCGCTGTCTCCTGGAAATTCCGCTGACAGTAACCACAAAGAACGTGTATTCACTAAACAACTGAAACACACATCAACCACATCGCCACAGATCTTAACCGATTGGACTTCTCATGGTTTTACTCTGTACCTGCCTTGAAATTACGCAGTGTGTATCGTCTACGATCAAATTCGTCGTATCCTTTACCAATTCAGTAAATATTACCACACTCATTTCCCATTTGACGGTAAATAATCTGAACTTTTAAGTCACCACCGTTAAATAAACACGGCTGCCTGATATAATTCGACGTTAAACAGTGTATCCTCCGACAAATCACATTGCCAGTTGACATCTGCAGCCCTCATGCGACACAATATGGCTGCTATGTTAACCTGCTAAAAAGTGTTAACTCATTAGCAGAAGAACAGAATTTCCATTACCACAAATTAACTTCATCACAGCATTTAGAAGTATTA